TGGTCATAAAATTCCATTTTAGGGAAAAAAATGCCCTGTTTTCTTTTGGGCTAGATGTTCCTGTCCATTCTTTTCTTTTCTTTTCTTTCTTTTTTCTCTTTTAGTCAAGGTTGATTCCTGGAAACTGCCTGGTACAGTAGTCTTTGCAGTTTTCTTGGCATGATTTCAATAGTGGTTTGCCATTACCTCCTTCTTACCATGTTTTCCCCAAAATAAGACCGGGTCTTATATTAATTTTTGCTCCAAAAGGCACATTAGGACTTATTTTCTGCATAGGGATTATTTTCTGGGATATACAGTATTAAATGCATCTGTCTGACTGATGATCTTAACTGGGGCTTATATTATGTTCTGAAAAATCATGCTAGGGCTTATTTTCTGGTGGGTCTTATTTTTGGGGAAACAGGGGTAAGTCAGAGAGAGAGTATCTGACTGAGGAAATCCAGTATCTCGCGCTGCCTAAAGTGGAACTAGAACTCATGGTCTCCTGGTTCCAGCTTATTGCTTTAACCACTACACCAAACTGGCTCTTGGATTACTTTCATAAATATCTTGCCTACAATTAACAACAAATTAATTCCATAGTAATTCTTACATTCCTCATTGTCTTTTTCCTTGAAAACTTAAGCAATTATTTCTTGTTTCTACAGATATGATATTTCCTTAAACTGCCAGATCATTTGAAGGAGTGAGTGAAGCAAATAAATTAGCATAAAACCACCAGCCTTTAGTATTTCTACAGTAATTTTATCAGCTCCAGCACCTTTCTCTCTTTTTTTTAATTGAGTGATTATTTCAGTGATTCTGGCTTCACATTTTTCAGTGGTTCCATCTGGCCCATCAAAAATGGTGGTTATACTGCAGTGTTCTCTGCAACAGAGTGCTTGTAAAGGAATTTGAAATACTCAGGCCAATGATTCAGTTGTTTAATTCCAAAGTACACAAAAGTGTGTTCTGATTTTCTGTCATTCATGCATTGAAATTTACTTCTGAGCTCGTATAGCATGATATAAAGGCTACAGTATTCTCGTCAATATGCAGCTTCTTCATTCTTCTTCAGTGTTATTTCAATAGCCATTTTGTTTTGCTTTAAGGTGTTTTCATATCTTTGAATATGAATGCTTGGCTTTCATTGAAAAGCCATGGTTTTGTTTGCTGTTTTTCTATAGAACAGATTTTTGCCATATTCATTAATTATTTGAGAGAAATAGCTCATTTTACCACCACCTCACCTCCCACAATTACTGTATCTGTATTGTGAAGTCAAAAGTGTTTGTAAGCAATTAAGAATAAATAATACAAGGTTATAAAATATGTTAAGAGAGCACCGTTGAAAATTGTTAGCATGTTTCACATTACTTATGTACTAGAGTGTTGAAAGTTGAGAAAGATAAGAGATATGAATGGTTCGTTTGTTCTATAGGTGGGGATTGATTTTCAGGAAATTGGCATTCAAATACTACTTTAGACATTGTTGAAGATAAATATTTAAAATATGCATTTATTTTGTAGACTTAAAACTTGTTGAACGTGGGGAAGAATTCTTATTAACTCTGCATGCTCAGCTATTAGCAGAATAAAATAATTGGTACAGTTGTCCCATACCATTATGGAACCCACAAATCATCTACTTTTGGAAGACCAGATGGTCCATTTGCAATTTTTAAAATATATTTGAGCACTCTCAGTAAAAATAGATTGAGGGGGAAGGATGGAAGGTAGCAAAATTTATAAAATAGTAGCAATGTAGGACATAGCTGAATAGTCAACACTAGCTCATTTTCTATGAACTAGTGTTGAGTATCCAGCTATGTCCTACATTGCTATTATTTTGTAACTGTTTCTACCTTCTATCCCTCTGCAAGGTTCCTTCAATCTCTGTTATTCTATTATCTGTTTTCTATATGTCTCAGCAGGTAATAATAATTAGCCTATTGTAGGTGACTTCAGTTTTGTTTAGTATTTGAATGGGGTATGACTAGGGACTTCCAGGTCTAATTCTACCAAGAAAACCTCATGGATGCAGTTGCCAGAAAAGTATGACTGGAGATGCTTTACCATATTTAGGTTTACTTATTAATATGACTGTACTATCTCTGTACTGCATGACAGAAAGTTTGTAAATTTTTTTGAAATTATCCTATAATTCTTCAGTATAAAAACCTACTATGTGATCAGAGCAATTAAAAAGTCATATGGAAGAAGAAGTGTGATGGGCTCCAAGAAAAAGTCTCTTGAGTACCGTATTGGAGACAACTACTATATTTTGCAAACATATGAAGCAGTAGTGCATGCTGTACAGGTAATCCTCAGTTTACGATGGCAATTGAGCCCAACATTTCTGTTGCTCAGTGAAACATTTATTCAATGAATTTTGCCCCGTTATACAACTTTTCTTGCTACAGTTGTTAAATTAAGTTAGGAACATGATTGTTAAGTGAATCTGCCTTTCCCATTGATTTTGCTTGTTAGAAGATTGAAAAAGGGGATCACATGACCCCGGGACACTGCAACTGTCATAAATATGAGTCAGTTGCCAAGCATCTGAATTTTGATCACATGACCATGGGATACTACAACAGTCGTAAGTGTAAAAAATGGTCACAAGTCACTTTTTTCAGTACGGTTGTAACTTTGAATGGTCACTAATGGTCACTAAGTAAGTTGAAGGCTACCAGTACTTTAGGACCTTTTATTAACTAGTTTATTCAACTAAAGCTGCCTATTGTCTTGTGTCATTTATCCATGTTCTCCAGACTGAATATAATGTAATGTAATACAATAGAATGCAATAGCAATCTAATATAAATTTTATCTCTGCTATTATATTATCATAATTGTGATATCATTAATGCTTGCTTTGACAAGCTGTACTGAAAACAATTGGCCACTTAATTATCAGCAAAAAGAATGGGTATTAATCAGTTGACCAGTTTTTCTTATAGTGATCCTTGTTTGTTGAGTTCAGCCAGATAACCCTCTGATTACTTGGCAGGTGCCCTTCCTGATGCCTTTGGCTTGGCTGCAGGAGAAACCAGACATCTCTTTTCCAGAGGCATCTGCCTGATCAGGCAATGCAAGGGCTTCTTAGATCTTACATAGGTTCTTTTTCTAAATGAGTTTAGAACTGAAAGATTGCCACGCCTGTTGTTTAAACATGGCTTTGGCAATCTTTAAGAAAGTGTTATATATGCCTAAAAATAGGACTAGCTCTCTCTTGAACTGTAATCCTTTGTTTTACAAAAGTTTGATTTAAGTCAGGAAAGAGAGCCAGATTCTGCCAGCTCTATGTTGCTGGTTCCACCATAGTGAGTTCATTAGAGGTGTATCTGCCAAGGAGACACTTCTCATGGCTGTATTTTTCACTTTTTCTGTTACAGGTAGTCCTTGGTTAATGCCCATTTGTTCAGTGACTATTAAAATTTATGACAGTGCTGAATAAGGAAACTTACAGCAGCCATTGCAACATCCCCCTGATCATGTGATTGTAATTCAGGCACTTGGCAACTGGCTCACAGTTATGACAGTTGCATTGTCCTACAGTCACTTGATTGCCATTTGTGACCTTCACTGCTGACTCCTTGACCAATAAAGTCAGTGAGGAAACCAGAATGAGGTCACAAATGGCAGTGATATGATGCTGTGCTAAACTATCCTGTGGAATTTGTTTAAATGCTTCTGGAAGTGTAGAAACTGGTGTCATAAATCAGTGTGATCATATGCATTTGCACTTTATGACCACATTGCTTAACAATGATTTCCCAATCCCAATTACTGTTGTTAATGGAGGACTACTTGCATGTTAGTAAGAAAGGAGTTCCATCTGTCCCATTCCATCCGATACTTTCAATACTGCCTTTGCAACTGAGAATGGAAATCAGTCATTATTGATTGTCCCTCCTGTGTTCACCCTGTCTGCCCAACTCTTATTTGATACAGAGAGCAACTGGCTCTGTGGCCCATCAGACAGATCACAGGCATGAAGCAAAGACATGATATAAAGAGGGAGTGCCCACAATGTTCCTCCTGTAACCTGTCAGTGGGACTGTTTTTCTCAACATGGTTCTTTCACCTCTTTTTAAACCCCATCCAAAATAGCTTGGCCAATAGGTCATTTGTAGAAGAAAAGCAGGAAGTGAAATATCAGGGAGTGACCCCTTTTCAATAAGCAAGGGATGCTTGGTGGGACTAAATATGAAACCAAGGGAATTTGCCAACTTTCCCCTTTTTAAAACTATAGAAACAACACTATTCCCTCCCTGTTACTGAAGCAGAATAGGTTCAGCAATTAGAACAGCAAATTTTATATTGACCTACTTTGCTGCTGTTTCAGGAACTGGTGGATTGCATTTTAATGTGGAATCTGGCCAAGCTCAATTTATTTTATGAACAAAGATTGCTTTCCTTGACAGGCCATCAGGGACATGGCCTTTTGCATGACTCTTAGGACAAATGTAAATTTGCTTTGCTTTAATTGACAGAACATTTTGCTCCAGTTTGGAATTTCTATAAATAGTAGAGCAAATTAAGATATTGAGAATTTAAAAAATAACCCAGACCTCTGAGTTTTCATGTCATTCTTCTAAAGTGCAAAGTCAACCTACTTTCTTAAAGTAGTGAAACATGCTTAAAAGCAGATTCAACAGTTTGGCAACTCTGTGACTGCAGGCACTTTTCTCCTTTGCTTCCAGCAAGCCTCTTTTCCCAACCTGCATATCACATTATCTATTTTGCTACTGCCTGCCCAGCCCTAAATGTCTTCAGAAGAAGGAAGACATGATGTCAGAGGGAATACTGAAAGGTCCTGTTCTCTCTCCCACTACCTTGACGTAAGGTCAGTCTTTCCAAAATGATTGATCAAAGGGGAATCTTCTACACTCTGTTCAAAAGAAGTAAGGCCTTTAATGAGAGAGAAGAGCATCTCCTCTACAACAACATCCACAGGTATATAAGGCAACTATAAAGTATCAGAGAGGGAGGGATAAGAAAATATGCACCATAGCTTTGCGCAGTGGCAGTATCATAGCCAATGAGGTTTATCCGAGGCGTGATTATTGCTAATTGGCCTACTATAGAAGAATGGACGCTTAAAGTGTCAAACTTAGCAGAAATAGCTAAGATTTCTGCTTGTTTGAAGGATTATTCACAAGAAAGATACATTTCGGTTTGGAGAAAATGGATAGATTATATTCAGAATAAATATGGAACTAAAAAGTTCCATTTATTTTATGAATAAATTTTAGAGTATTATTAATGTTATTATTATTATTATCATTAATAGTTTAGTATAGTGGAAATTTTATGATATTGTGTTGTTTAGATATTAGAATTTTAATTTGTTTATATGATTAAGTTTGTTCTTAAATTGTTTACTTTGTGTTAAAAGAGAGTTAAAGCGCATTATATTTGTTTATCTATATAGTTAGTTAATGTTAGTTAGATTATGATTATTACATTTATTACCCTGTATTCAGCTCTGGGAAGTGGGGTAGGGGGGGTAGGTTTGGGATATATTTTGTAATTTTTTTGTAAAACTTTTCAATAAAAAAAAAGAAAAAGAAAATATGCACCATAAATCAGGACTGTGGACTCTGTCCTAAGTATTGCAGCAGATATCAGAGACCTCAGCATTATTTATGCCAAGCATGGCAACAACACTGTTAATGGCCAAAAATAAATCTGGAATGGAATGGATTGACACCCCACAGATATCCCTAGTCACTGGATTTAAATGTTGGGAGTTTTTTTGGGGGGGGTGGGTGAGATACTAATCCTGCCTACACCTCAGTTAAGTACATTTAAGGGGCATAGCCAAACATCTCTGTACTTTAATACATATTAATGCTCAAAGTACAAATGTTGGCTAAGACATTGGATGAGGGACAGGAAAAGGTGTGAGTTCTGCCTCTGACTGCAATTTTTCCCCTTCTCCACATTTTAGCCATTTTTTCATATTGAACATGAGCATCTCTAGAGTAGTACTTTAAATGTTCCCATAACACACAAGTCTGGTAAAAAAAAACTCCTAATAATGGGAATGTTCAAAAGTTGTTCAGAAAATCGTATTTCTAACAAACATTAGCGGCCAGCCAGTGATATTCTACAGACTCCTGAAGGTTTTGTGGATCAGGCTTTGTTTCTTCGCTCTTCTAGAGTAGTAAGGGCTAGAAGAATACTTTTAACTCTGTAATATAGGTTAGGATAATTATCAGTTGTGTGATATATTTCAGGATTCTGGGACACATTTAACTATAATTAGCTATAAAAAGCCAATCCTATTAAGGATTTTTATATAACTCTTTTACCAGAGAAAAGTATAGCAAACTGTGTAGGTTTCTTAAAGACAGGAATAGATTTTAAACATGTATTGCACTGACAATGGCCAAAAATAAATCTGGAATTGAATGACATGTAGATTTTTAGAGAAAGCAGAAGCAAACCGGGTTGTTAGTTACCATCTAGATCAGGGCTTTTCAACCTTTTCACCCATTGTACCACTTTTAGGATATGGCAACATCCAAGTACCACCAGTTGCCTAGCAAGGTGTCAAAAACTTAATGATCAAAAAAAAAAAAAAAGGAAAAAGTGATAAGGTACGGGTAGTTCTCGATTTACAACAGTTCGATTAGTGACTGTTGGAAGTTACAATGGCACTGAAAAAAGTGGCCCCCCAAGCCACAGCCGAGCAAGACACCTGCCTGCCCACCCGATGGTGCTCTTCCTCCTGTCCAAGGTTTTCATTGCTGTGAGCATTTCTGTTGAGGATTGGCAGCGGGGATGGGGTGGAAGGGCGTTTTTGTTTTTATTCCCCCCACCCGTCTGCTGGGTGGTTGCAGCAGGTTTTGGTCACTTCACATGACCCTGGGACACTGTGACCATCATAAATATGAATCAGTCGCCAAGCATCTGAATGTAAATCACAAGACCCTGGAGATGCTGCAACATTCCAGCTGATCGGTGCTTCTTCTGGGCTCAGCAGAAGTGTCAGGATCAGTGCTGCTTTCCAGCTGATTGGTGCTTCTTCAGGGCTCAGCAGAAGCACCAGGATCAGCGCCGAGCTCCAGCTGGAGCCTGGTGGGGATCCTGGCGCTTCCACTGAGCCCTGACAGCCCGGAAAAAGTGCCAATCAGCTGGAAAGTGGCACTGATCCTGGCGCTTCCGCTGAGCCCAGACAGCCCTGCAGCTCCAGTCATCTCTCGCTTAGGCTGGTGTGGTGCTGCCACCTGTTCAGCTCATTTCCCTCCCCCGCTATCACTTTTCTAGGATGGTCGCATACCACCTGCCAGGTGCCAATGTACCACAGGTGGTACCCGTACCACTGATTGAAAAGCTCTGATCTAGATAATGTTTGGATACTGGTTTGTTTGAGGAAAAAGTTATGCATACAAATTTCAGAGCAAGCATACAAATAAAGCAATATTCTGCAGTCTTAATTTACTTTTTAAAATTGTAATTTATATATTAAAAAACCAAAAAGTGTAAGAAAATGGAAAAAGTAAAAATAGAAAAGAAAGGAAAAAGAATATGAAGGAGTGTCTTCTGATATTCTTCACTGCAGTTACGAGTATAAATATATATTTGACTCCTCTTTAAAGTTACACCATATTGTTCTGCCTTCTATAATCTATCCTACAGAATCATCATGTTACAAGTTCATTTTTTGTCATTTTTAGACAAAAATCCGTAACAGGCTTCCAGTCAGCAATAAATGTAGATGCCTTTTCTGCCAACTTTACCAATCATTCCTTCATAATGTTGTTGTTAATTGCGAAGTCGTGTCTGACCCATCGCGACCCCATGGACAACGTTCCTCCAGGCCTTCCTGTCCTCAACCATCTTCTGGAGTCCATTAAGCTCACACCTACTGCTTCAGTGACTCCATCCAGACACCTCATTCTCTGTCATCCCCTTCTTCTATTTCCCTCAATCTTTTCCAGCATTAGGCTCTTCTCCAGTGAGTCCTTCCTTCTCATTAGGGGGCCAAAGTATTTGAGTTTCAACTTCAGGATCTGGCCTTCTAAAGGGCAGTCGGGGTTGATCTCTTCTAGGACTGACTGGTTTGAACGCCTTGCAGTCCAAGGGACTTGCCGGAGTCTTCTCCAGCACCATAGTTCAAAGGCCTCAATTCTTTGGTACTCAGCCTTTCTTATGGTCCAACTTTCACAGCCATACATTGCAACTGGGAAAGCCATGGCCTTGACTATATGCACTTTTGTTGGCAGGGTGATGTCTCTGCTTTTTAGTATGCTGTCTAGATTTGCCATAGCTTTCCTCCCCAGGAGCAAGCGTCTTTTAATTTCTTGGCTGCAGTCCCCAACTGCGGTGATCTTGGAGCTCAAGAAAATAAAATCTGTCACTACCTCCATTTTCCCCCATCTATTTGCCACAAACTGAGAGGGCCGGATGTCATGATTTTGGTTTTCTTAATGTTGAGTTTCAAGCCAACTTTTCCTTCATAATGCATAGTGTCAAATCTTTCTGCCTCTCTGCATATAGAAATTTTACTTCTTGTTCTGCCTTCAGGTGCTTTGGAGAATAGGTTGACCCCCTCTTCTTTGTGGCAGCCCCTTAAATAGCACTATCATGTCACCCCTGGTCCTTCTTTTCATTAAACTAGACATATCCAATTCCAGCAATCATTCTTCATATTTTTAGTCTCCAGCCCCCAATCATCTTTGTTGCTCTTCTCTGAACTCTTTCTAGACTCTAGAGTCTCAACATTTTTTTAAATTGTGGTGTCCAAAACTGGACGCATTATTCCAAGTATGGTATTATTATAAAGTGGTACTAATGCTTCATGTGATCTTTATTCTTTCCCTCTGTTAATGCAACCTAGGACTGCATTGGCTTTTGGCTGCTGCCACATACTGCTAGTTCACATTGAACTGATTGTCCACTAGGACTCCAAGATTCATCTCGCAGTTACTACCTTTGAGCCAGGTATCACCTATTTGGTTTCTCTTGCCTAAATGTAGAATCTTATTTTTCTCATCATTGAATTTCATTTTGTTAGATAGGGGCCTGTGTTTCTAAATATAATTTCTGTTTCTATCTTTCTAAATGTAATTTTAAATCTGGTAAATCCAATCCTCCTTTTTCCTTTGCATCTTGTAACATTATATTTATTTCTTGTTTTTTTCTCCCTTGTCATATAAATTTAGATGTATCTTTTTGCCTTTTTGTTTGCAGTCCTACACATTCTAAATGCAGTGGATCCAAAATGTTAGTATTCCTTGCTTTCATAAACATATTTATTAGGGTGTAACAGGGACTGAAGTAATTATAGCTGAAACATATCCCTTTTGAGAAAGCTGATTTGTGTGAAGGATGATAACCTCTTTGCTGGATCTTGTCCATAATGCTTTGCATCTCAGTCAGTGCTCTGTGTATTCTGGCCCCATCTTCTACTGGCTGCCATTTATATTTCTTAAAAGACTTTGGATGAGCTGGGATTCTTTGAAAGGTATCAGGAAACCCAGTGAAATCTTACATCCCCAAAACCCCAAACTGCTTCTGCATTTTACTGTAGTAGTGGGATCTGCACACACACAAAAAAATCATAAAGTCATAATTGCTTGCAAAAAAAAAGTCTGAAATGGATAGGCCATGCTGTTTTTCAAATGGTAGATCTCTGTAGATTATATGCATGAGCAGATTAGTACTTTTGTTTGTGGAGGAGGTGTGGATATGTAGATTTTGTCCATTCATAGCCAGCAGATGATTCATACTAATGTGCTGGCAGCATTCCTTTGTTTTTAGTAAAAAAAGATTGTATAAGGTGTTTATATGAGTTGGAATTCCACTATTGGCTTAACCATGGCATAGCTTGATTTATTCAGTGCCTTTCTTTTGTCTATTCCATTCACACTATAAGAATCCTTTTGGGTGGGATGAATGCTTCTGGCCCTAGAGTCCCTAATTTGATACTTGCAGACTTCCCCATTAGTGCCCTCCAGGCATCTTGCCTGACTTTACATCTTTTATTTTATTTTTATTTTTCAAAAACCTTATTAAGCAAAAAAAAATGAAGTTGGTGTACTGCAAAGCAAAATATCTCCAACAAAAATAACTCTGGGCCTCAAATGCAGCAAAAGTCACTTGTTAAGATGGGAGAGTATATATATCAAACAAACCAATAAATAAATAAAATGACTTCATAAGTTGAAGTCGTTTTTCTAACAACTTTTCACTTTCCAGAAAAAGGGAAAAGGTAAGCAGGAATAGTTGAGAGAGGATAACAGGTAGTGTTCTAATTAATTAGATGCTTTGTAATACTGAGAGATGAACAATGCCTAAATTTGATAAATAACCCTGCTTACAGAGTTTAATGCTACTATGTTGTGAATGATAAGTTGCCCAGCAGCCATTTTGCAAGAACTGTCTGTTCTCAAATTTCCCAAAGTGTTGACTGAACCAAAAAGGTCAGCGACTCTTGCTCCAGGCCAGTATTACTAGCCTCATCCAGCAAACTATATTTCCACTTCTCTTCAAAATATCCCTAGAGGATGCTAAAACTGAGGGTTGCTGGGAAGAATATCAATATATTTGTGCATTGTAGGCTCTCAAAAATAATAGGTAAGCAACCCCATATCTTGTGTAGTGCAACTTTAACAGCCACTGAGAACACAAATGAAGTTATTTTTCAATTAAATTAGACTTTACTATTCTAATCTCATTGGAATGAGAGAAGTTATTTTTAGTAAATAACATCATCTTATTAAGTGGCAACCAAAGGCAGCACAAATTCTAAAAAGTGGAGAGATTAAGCTTGTTTATCAACTCAGCTTGGATGACCATGGCAAGGTAGGCTCTAGAATCTCCATGAGGCATTGTTACTTGGTTGCATACACTGGTCAAGGCATTCTGGAACCAAGGGGATCAAAGGAATTGGCACTGACTGACCTACCGACTTACCTACCTACCTACCCATCCATCCATCTATTTTTATCAAGCCTTTATTACTTTATAAATAGCCAAGATTGGTGAAAATACATAATGTTCATTCTTCCTCTTTTTCCCCACAATAACAATTATTTGAGATGGGCTATGCTGAGTAAGAGTGACTGGCCCAAAGTTACCCAGCTGATTTTCTTGCCTAATGTGGGACTAGAACTTGCTCTCTGCTGGTTTCTAGGGCAGCATCTTAAGAATTAGTTTGAAATAAGATTAAAAGGTAAGATGAATCAGCCACAATTAATATACGTTTTGTTAAGCTAGTAATCTTGAGTTGGGTGACAAACCTACTTATGTCCATTGTCACACACTGGCAGTATTTATACAGCATGTTTACCCATGGTTAGCAACTAGAATTTACTCAACTCAGTAAATTTGCCCTATGCAATCAGTATGGTGAAGTTGTGATATGTTAGACTAGGAGAGTGGAGATCGAGATTTTGGTCGACTCTTAACCCTGGAAGCTTATTTAATAGCTTTAGACCAGTTTTAATTATTTCATAATAGATAATTCCCTGGGTAGAATTTCTGAGAGTTAATATCCATACACCTTAAAGTTGCTAAGATGGAAAAACATTAAACTACATTGATAAGGCTGCCCAAACTATTTGACCCTAGGTGGCATAAAACAACAGCAAATGAACAATAAAAAAAACCCCACACTATTTCATATTAAAACATATGCAAAATATAAATGCAAAATTTAAAAATAGACTCTCAGCTCTGCCTACTTCACAGGCTTCTTATTTAAGGATTAGTAAGAAAAGGAGTAATGATACGTTGCCCTGATGTTCTTGAATGCCTGAATGAAATTGGGCTTCCTTGACCTTCTAAATTAAATCATAATAAAATATAAACATGAAATAACTCCCCTGCCAATACTAAAGTATGGTTGACAGAATACAAGTGGTTCAATGTATTGTACGAACACAGCCACCTAGCATTCTTTGAACTGCAGATGGGGCTCACACACACATACTCCAAATCCATCTTTTCTTGTTGGTAGCAACTCATACCAATGAAGTTAAAGCCCCAAAACTTGCTTGCTGCTTCTTAAATTATGATGGCTGGCTAGTGCAATGCAGGTCCATATGCAGCCACTTGGGGAGAAGGCCAGGGCTTCCAAAGATTTCTTCCTCTTCTCATTCATCTCTAAACTGATCATTTGTAGGAGCAATGTAAGAGAAGTCAGGGAATTATGCAATGAGACTGTTGAGTGCCCATCCCTGCCTTAAATCACTATAACTTAAATCTAGACCAGGCTATTTTCCTTTTCCTGCTTATGTTATTGTATTCTAACAAGTATTACCTTTTTTCTGGCATAGTGCCTAGAAGAATTGACTTGGCTGTATTTTCTATGTAATTAAAATAGTTATAATCTTGTTCCTGTTCTCTTGATGCCCTCAGATCCCTCAAGAAAGGCTGTAAACTTTATACATGTGAGCTGCAACTAAAAACTGGGCTGATCTAATTTAATTTTGGTTTCTTGCGGCACCTTTTCACAAGGGTAGATGCAAAGATATATATTCTGTAGGATGTGTTAAGACCATGCAACCTTTGTGGAGTATGTATACACTTTATGTACTCAAGCAACTTATAATGAGAGTTCTATAAAACTGGGGTATTGGCCCAGAGAAAACAGTGAAGGGTGAAAACTATTATGATACATTGAAACTAAAATGGGGGAAACCCAGTTTCAAATCATTACTCACTACCAAGGTCACTGGGCAATCTTGTAACATCTCTCAATGAATCTATTTCACAAATTTGTTTCAGGAATAAAAAGGGATGAGAAGTCCTATGTACCACCATAACCTTATTGGAGGGTTTCCTTAAATCTAATCATGTTTTAAGAACCTAGTTGTGAGTATTTTCAAGAGTGTATTTTGCCAATTCAGTTTTAAGGCTTGACTCAACTTGTGGGTTTCAGAATTGTCACCATATCTTTTAAAAAATGGTTTAAAGCTGCTGTTTCTCTTTTAACTGAAAAAGTGGGTAGAAACAGTTTAAAGAATGGCTGGTTAAAAAATCTTAGTCCCTTCTCTTTCTTTCAATATCAGTTCTTTATCCTTTTTCTACTTCTTACAGGTTTGAAGATCTTTCTAAATAAGAAAATATGTTGATGCATTTCTAGAATAATCATTGATTCAAGGAATCTGAGATCTGGGATGCAATTGGATAATATGATTATATTTGTCTTATTATAGTTTGGTAGATTTTATAAATCATATGAATAAGCCCTCTCAAAATCTCCAAACTTGTCATTATGAAATATAGTGAATAGTGTCTTTTGCTCAGGAAAATAGAAAAATAGGAGTATTAATTCTTCAGTAGGTTTAACACATCTATGTTATGCTAAATTTATCTCCTCTGGCCTCTCTCCAAAAAGGATCAAAAACTATGCTTCTGTTCATCTTGTGATGTGATTGCCATTCCTCCATGTTTTGTTATTTGTTTTAAAAAAATTGCCCCATCTTCCCCCAACGGTTGTCCTTTTTGTGGTATGAATGCATATTTTAATAAGTATTTTAAATTTGAAGTATTGTCTTTTTAATAGACACTTCTCTTTCATTAACTTATTTTTTTTCTCTCTAGTGGAAAGGGAAAATGTGCAGAAAAGGACTTTTACCCGATGGATTAATTTACATTTGGAAAAGGTAAGAAAGCTATATAAATATTGGTACATTATTCTCTTCTCTGAAAAGTGAGGTCTGTAAACAGGAGAACAGGTGAAACCTTAGGTAATTTATTTAGTACCTTAGTCACCTTTGGTGAATCTAGAAAGCTAATCAAGGACAGACCCTGCTAGTACTTGAATAGGGAACTGTTGGCTAGACAGGTCTAGAACAACTTGTTGTGGCCATTTCACCACGGCCACCTCACCATGGCCAATTGACACAGCCAACTCAACATGGCCAACTCGCCATGGGATAACTTATCATGGTCAATATGCTTCGGAACAACTCCCGCAAGACAAGAGTTACACTAATATCAAAGAAATGATGGAATAGAATCATTAAAGAAAGTATGCCAAAGGAAGGACAAAATGAAATGTGAAGAGCAAAAATTTAAATATTTTTTAATTATTTTGAATAATTAAATTGAATTGTTGACTTTCCCTGCAGTGAGTTGTCCCTCAACGAGTTGGCCATGGTGAGTTGTCCCATTCTGGACTAGACTTAGAAGTTAAAAAATATCAGAAGAAGACAATGGTAAATCACTACCGTAATGTTGCTAAGAAAATTCATAAATACTGTCCCAAAGAATCAAGTTTAATTTGCTTCTGTTCTTAAAAAATGCCAAAGACACTTTTTTTAAATTTTTTATTTTTAAAACCAACAAAACAAAACAAAACACACATACACACACAGTGTATACTCCTCCCTTTTTTTTTAACAGCAATTTTGTAATGGTAATCTTCTATTATTTACATTTCCCCCCCCCCCTTATTCTTCTTTAGAATATTTGTCCTTGTTGCCCCGTTGTTTCTTATTTACATTTTTCTTCCTTCATACTATACTTCATACTAAGAATAATACATATTATTATTACTATATATTATTATACACACATTTTCCACTTTTGACCTTCCCACATTTATTCTCTATTATTTCTAGTCTCCAATCAGTCATACCACTTGTTCCATATTAGACAGTACTCTGTGACCAAAGACACTTTTAAATACAATGAAGACACAAAGCTGATGGCCTCTCAGCGCATTTGAGATATTTACTTAAGAGCAGTATTTTTCAAAGTTGGACTTCAACTCCTAGAATTCCCAGCTAGGAATAAGTAAAAGCTTATTTATAAAGGCAAAATAATGGGTCCATTATAGATGGGCTCCAGAGATCTTTTTTTCTTCCATTCAATTATGTCTGATTCTCAGAGACTTCCTCACAGATGGCAGTAAAGAAATACAAACAACTATTTGTATCCTATATTGATTGTTTGTATTTTTGCAACCCAAATATGATAGTCCTAAAAAATCATAGAATTTTTTCACATCAGTAATTGCTAATGATTCAAATCCATTGAAATTGCTAAATAAAATCTGTGGACAATAAGCAAACATTTTTTTCTGTTACAGGATATACTGTAATTTTTTGATAAGCCTCTGTGTGAAGTTTCTTTTTTCCAAAGATGCCTCCCCGCTGAACAATTTCAAAATGCCCTAATTAAACTCAAATATTTCCTAAACATTGCCAGTTTTACTCTCAGAGGTTTTGTTTGACACAGTTTTTTTCTTCCGGATGGGGACTGACTGATTTGATTGATATAGAGCAGGGGTGTCAAACTGCCAGCCTCTGAGCTGGTTTCATCATACCAAAGCCACGCCTACCCCATTACCGGCAATGCAAAAAGAGTCACAATACGTCACGACATATCACGTGATGTGGCGAGTTTGACACCCATGATATAGAGGGATGCACGCTCCAAAGCTATTATTAAACTATTTCCCTTTCCCCCCACAGTGTAGCCCTCCTCTGGAAGTTAAAGATTTGCTGCTTGATATTAAAGATGGCAAAATTCTGATGGCATTACTGGAAGTGCTGTCTGGACAAAATCTGGTATGTATAATATATACTGTAGGACTGAATTTATGATAAAATAAAACTTGGTAGATTTCTGTTTTCTAAAAGGATCTGAAATGTTTCCTAAGCCAGATAGGTACAACCAGAATGGATCCTGGGTTTCGTGCAATTAATGTAACTGCAGCAACATAGTAAGTGTTAGAAAGTGTGTATTGTCAACCCTATCCTATCCATGTTTTCTTCCAAGTGGGTACACTTAAGATCATATGTGAGTGAATCTGACCTAACCAAAAGGAAGTGTAGCAAAGTTGGGGTGAGAATGGGGCCAGCTGAGAGGAGGAGACTGATCGCCATTGTTTTAGGCAAGTTGCTGTCACCAGAGACTGACTGCCATCATTCTAGGCAAGTTACCATCACCAGAAGCTGATTAACATCATTGTGGGCAAGTTGTTGTCATTAGAGATTGATTATCATCTTCCCTGTAAGTTCTTATTGCCTGAGATCAACCACCATCCCAAGTGAGTCACCATTGAGAGAGAGCAACCATTACTGGCCCATGTGCGTGGCTGCTGATTGTGACTGAATACCACCATGTTACATGCCCTGTTAGGCAGAGGCGCCAAAATGAGAGACATCTTTGGGCTGGTGGCCACTTGGAGGGGAGGTCGGGAGGGCCCAGACTTAAGTGGTCTTTACAGGGGTGGCGCTACACATGGGGGCTCATCCGGGATGTCCTGTCCGGCCTTTCCCTTTGGAGGAGGGAGCAGGTGGTCTCACGTAGGGATATGAGCCAGGTGAGCAAAATGGACCCCACCATCATTACTAAGTGGTGTGAGGACCAGAATAGTTAGGTAAAGTCGAGTGTAGTAATTGATGTCCCTGGTGATGTTTGGCCAGAAGAGTGAATTCTACAGACATTGAGGACTCTTGTCCTGGACCAGAGGGTATATGTGGTGGACATAAGGGTGGATCGGGACACTGCCCGCTTTTATGTTCTGTTGGAGTGGAAGACAAAGTGTTCCAGAGTGCTTTCAGCTTGAGAGCCTTCAATAGACTGAGGATATTAGGGCAGGGGTGATATTCCAGCTATTTGGGTCACGTTCTTGGCTAAAACATTGAACCAGAAAAGGGAGACACATGCTTTGTTTACCAGAGGCAGAGTTTGTACAGGGTAGGGGAAGTCTGACCTCCATACAAAACTTGACTGGCAGTTATTGCGTGGTGGCTGGGTATAAGAAACTACGTATTTTCTCAGGGATGCAATCAGTACCAGAGGGTACTGAATATGAAACCTGAATGGAGCAGGCAGTATAAGCAGTCGAAGAGTGAGATATACTAGATGCGCAAGAAAAGCAGAGAGTCAGAGAAAGCTTAAAGGGCCCTGCTGCAAAAACTATCAGAAGTCTAACATTGAGCCAAGGGCATTTTACTATGCACGACTACCTCTCTCTATTGCATGATGAATTTGGGTCTGCTGAAACATGTTTCACTTTGAGGATATGTATCAAAAGAGAGGTGAAAGGCTGTCTGAGTATATAAGACGATTGAACAAATTATTATATCAGGTTGTAGAAATCGGGGGGGGGGGCTGGATCCAACTGAAGTGGAGCAAGCCCAGATGGAGCAACTTTCCTGGGGTACTTTAGCCTTGGATCCAGTCTGGAATCAAATAAAGACCGAAGCCAAAGGGAATATCTGGGGGTATCATGATCTCATAAGGAGAGTTAGGGTGACGGAGGTGGTAGAGGAGGCCAAAGAGATCACAGCTGATTTATCATCAGAATGGCCCCCAGGCACGAGAGTGAGGAAGGGTGAAGAGGATGATGATCAGCTGACAATTATGCAAGCTCAGATATCGAACTTAACTAAGATGATGGCCTCATGGATGGCAATGGGTTGTCTGCCTCCAAATGGAGGTTGTCCGGGCCAACCAGTGGGGGGATGGGCCCTTCTACCTCAGCCGATAATTTGGCAAGGTCAGTGATTTGTTACAACTGTGGGAGTGTAGGACATTATAGGTGTCCTTGTACAAAACCATATAGAAGATCAGGGAATTCAGTTCAGTTGGGAAACTATCGAGGGCCCCAGCGAGGGAGTCAACTGGGTGCCCGGTAATATCAGCTAGCTCCAATCAAAGGGGTGTCCAAGGGCAGGTTCGGTGCCAGCTCTTGGGAGTGGGCTTCCCCTAAAGTCCCCATTGGTTATAGGGGTGATGGGAGCATCGTCCTTAGCAAGGGACCCCCATATCATAGAACCCTCTGAAGTCAGGGCCCCAGCAACATTTTGGGGGGGACTCAAGTACAGACTGTTGAACCAGATGCTGTGCCTCTCACTGCCAAAATTCCTAAACAGCTGGTGGGCCCCTCCCTGATGGTGTCAGTACAAGTGGAGTGTATTTATATGAGGGCCCTCTTGGATTTGGGTGCACAAGTGACATTATTATATGGGGATTTTTATGATAGGCACCTGACGCATATACTCATACAGGAGTGAGGCGATTTGAAGATTTGGGGTATTGGAACTGAGAAGTTCCCATATTATGGGTACCTGCCCATCCAGTTAACATTTGGGCCCTCTATTGCTGGGTATACAGAGACTTTTGATACCTTGGCCATTGTGTGCACTTGACCCCCAGGAGCTAGTCAGGGCTTATTGATTGTGGGAATAAATACCAATTTAGTTAGGCATTTGCTCACCCCACTTGTCCCAATAGGGAATAACTCGGCCATAGGGGATGTGCACCCCACACTGCAGACAGTATATTGACACTTGGTGCGGAAGCAACAGGCCTTGGTGGGGGCGGTGTGATTGTGGAAATTAGATCGAACAAAGAGGATATTACAAACAGGGGAGGTGGCATGTTTGCGGGCCTCGGTTAGATTAGACTGGGAACAGCCAGGCCCTTACCTCATCCTTAAATCTGATCCAAGAAGGCAGAATACCAGAGTGGAAGTAATTCTCGAGGTGGTCTGTACAAAGGCTCTATGGCAGGCCAGAGGGCAGATTTCAGTTGGAGTGCCCTGTTAGGCAGCGGGCGCCAACATGAGAGTGTAAGTTCTTATTGCCTGAGATCAACCACCATCATCCCAAGTGAGTCACCGTTGAGAGAAAGCGACCATCACCGCCCCATGTGCGTGGCTGCCAATCATGACTGAATACCACCGTGTTACATGCCTTGTTAGGCAGAGGCGCCAACATGAGAGACCTCTTTGGGCTGGTGGTTACTTGGAGGGGAGGTCGGGAGGGCCCAGACTTAAGTGTTCCCTATGGGGGTGATGCTACAGAAGCATTTAATATTTAATTTTAGTAAATTGATTTAAATATTTACTTCTTAACTTGGGAGTTCAATTTTAGAGGGTATAAGACTGGGAAAGCTGCTTTTTCATAAGGGCAAGCAACCTTTTTGTCATTAGGGATCCCCGTTTTCCTCCTATTGCTTTTAATAGGAAAGGCAATCGGGATCCTGTACTTCTTTTATTAACTTAAACATTTGTATGCCACCATTCAAAACATACTTCCCAGGGTGGACTATAGTGACATCACTGTGGTGAGTTGATGGCACAGTGGTTAGAATGCAGTACTGCAGGCAAACTCTGCCCACAGCCTGGAGTTTGATCCTGACCAGCTCAAGGTTGATTCAGCCTTCCATCCTTCTGAGGTCGGTAAAATGAGGAGCAAGATTGTTGGGGGCCATATGCTGACATACTGTAAACCGCTTAGAGAGAGCTGTAAAGCACTGTGCAGCAGTATATAAATCTAAGTGCTATTGCTATTGCTAAGTGCTATTTTCTTCAGAAGCAACTGTGGGGGAAGAGATTACAAAAGTAATGTTATGCTGATTTTATGCAAGCTTTACTCCTTTTGGCATGTGTGTGTCATAACACTTCCTGCACATACAAAAAGAGTATAGGTTGTGGCATTGTGGCACAATACTGTTTTTATCATTCTGATGTAAGTTCTAAAAGGTATGGATGCTTTTGCTTTTTACTTTTCTGAGGGAAAGGAGCAGAATTTTTGAAAATGTTAATAGCTTAAATGTTCAGTCTGTTGGAGAGCTTTGAGAGGTAGGAGGAGATGAGGCTACATGTATACCTGTAGAAGTGTTTGATTATTTTATGCCTATTGACTACATAAATTCTGTATATTATGGAACTATGAACCACCATTGTATAAATTATTTCTTATTTCAGTACAATGTAAATTGTATATGCGTTTTGACCTCAAGTTTCTTTTTTGAGGTCTTTGCATTCTTGTATATGGGCACATATTGTTCTAAAGCAATGGTGTGCAATTTCTCTTCTCTTAAGAGCCACATTAGACTAGTTCTGAGTCCATAATCCAAAAATAAGCTGAACTAAAATCCTATGTTAGAGGTGCAGTATACACAAAGATATGTATAAATACACACAATAAAGTGAAGCCAGCTAGGTGACCTTGGACCAGTCACTTTCTCACCCAGAAAGGAGGCAATGACAAACCACTTCTGACAAACCTTGGCAAGAAAACTGCAGGGACTTGTCCAAACAGTCTTCAAGAATTGGAAATAATTGAATGGAAAAAATAGATATAGATATAAATATTATACATAAAAGAGAAGGATATAAAAACATACAAGAAAACAAAAGGTAATGTGCAGATAGTTTTTCTTACTGAACTTTGAACATATTTTATTAACACAGTGTAAAACACTAGCAGAACTATAAACAGTAAATCAATATTGAAAACTATAGATGAAATAAAAATAGGATTCTATGGAAAAAGAAACCTAAATCTTGGATGTTACGATTGTATATAACATTGTTATCCAAGAATGGTTTCCAATTAGAATCAAATTATGCATTCAATTTCTCTTCTTCTCCTTCTCCTTCTCCTTCTCCTTCCTCTTCCTCTTCCTCTTCGTCTTCCTCTTCCTCTTCCTCTTCTTCTTCTCCTTCTCCTTCTCCTTCTCCTTCTTCTTCTTCCTCCTCCTCCTCCTCCTCCTCCTCCTCCTCCTACTACTACTACTACTACTACTACTACTACTACTACTATTTAGGAAGTTATTCTTGGCATCAAAACAATAATGTTATTAGTTATTCTTCCAAAGAAAGAATTACAGAGCTTTTCCAAAATAAGTATTTAAATCTTTGCAGTCATTATCATATACAGTATTAGTAAAGTTTGAAGGAAAATATTGTTGGTGATATTTTATACAAATATCTCACGTTGAGATATAGAATGACAACTTCAAAATATGTTCTTTTGTACTATAAATAATTTCCCAGTATTCAGGGCTTTATAACATTGATATCACATAATGACAAAAAGAACCCAATCTGTTTGTTATATTTCCAGCATCTCTTAGAGAAAGAATTACTCATTTTGGCCATCCAGGTTGGAGTAATATACCAATAATAAATTAAAATACTGCTTTAAAACTTTGTAAGGCATTCAGTACCTCAAACCCTTTGTAAGATTTAAAGGGGGGGGGGTTGTGCTCACAAGCCAAATTATTGATAAGTTTCTAAAATTTAAAAGGCAGGGACTGATATGAATACATAATAGCATGAAGAACTGTTAGACTTATTTTCAATCCATTCTGATTTTCTTTTAGCTTCACGAGTACAAGTCTTCAACCCATCGTATTTTTCAGCTGAACAATATTGCAAAAGCCCTTAAGTTTTTGGAGGACAGAAATGTAAGTAATTTATGTGATGGTGATTTATTCTGTTAACAAAAAATATGCTAAACATATGTGCTAAATAATTATGTCTTAATGCCAGATCTACATACCATAGGCATTAAAGTCTATTTGCTTACAAAGAATAGACATTAAAATCTACTTTGGTTGCAAAGAATAGATATTAAAATCTACTTTAGATTACTTCTGAAATGTTGTAAAGGCTTCAGTTGGATTAAATGATTAGAAGAATGCAAGAAATACTTTTAATTGGCAGGCTCTGAACAATTTAAATTGCTTTGATTGAACTCCTTGATTTTTAAAAGTATTTTCAATTTTGTTAAGGATTATACTTTTCTAATAAAGAATAGTCAGAGTTCTAAAATAGTCCAGTAGCTGAAAATCTGAAACAGCTTTCTTCCATATGTATTGAATTTCCATTTCCATAATCTTCAGCCAATGTGTGGTCACTCTTGCTTGAACAGTGCCAAAGCTGAAGTTCCAAATTATCGAAGGATGTAAAATTAGAGAAGATCTTCAGAATATTATGACCTCTTAATTTCCAAGATTGAAATCTAGAAAATGTGGCTTGGGAACTGTGGACTCACAATTTCGAGAAAAGCTATTCTACAGGGAATAAAGTGTATACTATATGCATGCAATATAAAATAACAGTACTCTTCATAAAACAAAAACTTATCTTCATATTATATAAACAATACTCTTTCTTAAGTTTTGGACAGGTATGCATTTTTTATATCTACAAGTAGTCCTTGACTTGAACCTGGAATTATGGTTGCAAGTCATTGCAGTCATAAGTTGAGACATTACAGACTGGATTTGAAATAATGATCATTTTTTATGATGGTTCTAAGCAAGCATGGAAGTCATTAAGTGAAGGCAGCAGTAATTAAGTGAATCCATTTCCCCCAAAGGCCATTATTTTTTTTGCCAGAAATCAGAAATGCCAGGAACTGGCAAAAATGTCACAAAACATGATCATGTAATCACAGGGTGCGGTAAACAGCTATAGAAGTGAGCTCGTAGCCAAGCACCTAAATATAATCATGTGACTAAGAGGTGGAGTGCAGCCACCATATCTCCAAAAACAGGCTGTAAGTAGCTCTGGGGAAGTCCATTATAACTTTGGTTGTTAAGCAACTGGTTGTAAGTCAAGGACATATCTATTTTGACTCAACAGAATAGTAGTTTGGATGCTGCATTTTGCCGAACCGCATTAGCCATTGATAAAAATAGACAGAAAAAAAGAACAGAATACATCATGTGTATTCTAAATAAATGTTTGTACCTTATGCTGTATCAAAAACAAATGTACTACATTGTATCATTTAGCTGTCCTTTCAAAGTTGCTACTACTGCTGTTCTTCTTAATTATTGCTTTATTCATTAGCTATTTGCAGAGTTGATAACAACCCTTTTTGTACACAGAGATGCCAATTTCCTTCTTAACTACTAGGTACCTATTTACTATCAAATGTAAAAATAAGCTATATGCTCTTTAAAGCCACCCAGAGGTTATAGCTTGGGCAGAAATGGACACCCCTCGGTTTGCCATGTGATATCATTGCTATGTGAGCTGCAGTTTTTCTTCAACGTGCATTCCAAGGTGTTAGTTATCAATTAAACCTCTCTATGGCACAGGGCCAGTTTATTTGTGGGTCCACCTCTCCCTGAAGGTATTTGTCCATTCCATCAGATCAGACCCAGGGAACACATTCTGGATCCTTTCCCTAGTGGAACTTAGCAAGCATGCCTTTTCCATAGCAGCCTTGCCTTGTGGAATACCATCTCCTTGAGATCCAGCAGTCTTCCACTATCTTAACCATTTGGTTAGCTATAAACAACTGATGTTTCCTTTCGTATTGGGATGTTACCGTGGGCACCCATAGATTGCATAGATGAATAGATGCAGATGATGGATTAGTTCCCTGGTTTTTCTTGATTTTTCTTCCAGGTTTGTGATTTTATTATTGTTGCTAGCCATACAGAGTTGTATTGCACAATGTGGGTAGCCATCTATTTTTTAAAAGAAATAAATAAATCCTTCAAGTGTATAATTACTTAATTGTGGATCTGGAAGGAGGCCATTGCCAGTCTTGGACAAATGAACTTTATCTCGGACAGAAAAAGTTTGATGAAGATGTTGAACTAACAAGTAAAATTACAAAAGGAACTTCAATAGTGTGGGGGTTATTGTCTTCCTGAATTATTTTTCTTATGCCATTGAATTCTGCATGTGCTGTTACATCACACTTCACGTATACATACTTATCTGGTTGCTAAGGGGTTTAATATGTCATAGTAAGGTGCTTCATCTTCAGTATGTAAGATGAAGCTGCTCTTAGACATAGTGAACTTTTTAAAGAACAGATGGAGTGACTTGATCTGTGTTTCCAGCCCTTCCTGAGGGTGCCTATAATATCTGTAAGTGACTGATAATGGGAGGATATTGAAGAGTAAAAATTATGATAATATAATCAGAGCAGCCTAATCTAAGGGGAGTTCTTGAATCTCCAAGAGCTGATTACAGTGGTCATACACAGGAAACGTCTCCCAGCATAATTTTCCATTCCCTAACTTGAAAATTTAATTTTCAAATTATCTTCATGATTTCATGGATATAGCTTAGGTGACTTTTAACTCCATTATAATTTATGTACTTTCAACATAGGGATAATAGTGATCCAATTCTGGTTGCAATGAAAGCCAATAAAAAAACTTTGCAACTTGCAAATTTTAATAGATGTTCTTCATTGTGGACCCATACCTAACCTCAATTTGACCCAGATTTCTGTGAATGAATTCTAAGTATTATTTAGAATTCATCCACAGAAATTTGGGTCAAATTGAGGTTAGGTATGGGTTAGGTATGCTAAGGCTTCAGAAATAGAAAGTTTTATGGTATAATCAATATTCTCTTTAGTGAAACTAATGGAAGAATCAGAGTCTGCTTGACTTCTTAAAGTATTGGTTTTCCGCAGGTTTTTCTTGAAGTAACAGTTTTGCTTGTGAGACAATATATATCCAACTCTATCTTAGTGACAGAACTGAATGCTTCTTTTGTCATTGATTGTGTTTTTCTATTTTCAGAAACCATATTTTGTTGGATTGTTATGTTTTGCATTTTGCATGAATTTAGAAATTGAAAAATTAGTGCTTGATTTCTCAGTTTGAGGCCCATGGATGCCAATATGCCTGCCAATGCCTTCCTTAGTATCTGATAAGTTTCCTACTTCAGTAGCCCCCAACCTTTTTGGCAGCAGGGACCAGTTTTGTGAAAGATAATTCTTCCATGGATTGTGTGTGTGTGGGGGGGGGAGAATGATTTCAGTTTTGCCTGCTTACTGACCACTCACCTCCAGCTGTGCGACCCGGTTTCAATCCCTGAACTGGGGGTTGGGAGCCCCTGCCCTACTTCATATTTTGTTAAGATTCAGGGTTTTTTAAAAAATTAAATACATTGTCAACTGCATATAGGGAAAATCAATACAAAATGTTCTATAGATGAGATTGGCCAAAATGTACAAAAATATGAATCCGGAATGTTGGAAATGTAAAAATAAGGAGGAAACATTCTATCACATGTGGTGGCTGTGCCCTAAAGCAAAGACCTATTGGGAACAGATAAGGAACTGGATACAGGAGATAACTAAGGTACAAATTGAACTCAAACCTGAACTATTTATTTTGGGTATAATAAATTGAAAGATGGAAAAACAACTCCAATACATCATTATACATATATTAACAGCAGCCCGCATAGTATATGCCCAGTGTTGGAAGGGTAAAAACATACCTACAAACGATATGATTATATACAAAATTCTAGAATGCGCGGAAATGAACAAACTTACGCTAGAATTAAAAGACAAGGAGGCAACATAATTTTATGAAATATGGAACAAATGTTATGATTGGTTAGAACAGAGAAAGAAAAAGATATGATTACTAATGTAAATAAATTGTAAATAATATATATGAGATGTATAACACAGTTCTGTTAAGGGGAAAAATCTATCTTTCATTTTTATTTTTGTTGTATAGTGAAAAAGGAATAAATAAAAATAAAAAAAATTAAATAAATATATGGGAAGCTTGTATGTTATGAAACAAAGCATCAGGATTAAACATCACTTTTATTCTTAGAATGTATTTAGGCCCGTAGAAAGCAAGGAAAAAGGGGAAATGGTAAGAAACTACAGACTAGTGCTTTTCTCTCTTTTTTTTTTTAAATTTGGTTATCAGATCTTGGGGTGGGGAAAGACAATGGTAAGCTGAAATGGTAGAGAGAGTGGTGAGGAACAACCTAACCTGCTTGCCTTCTGGTAAATTGATGGGTGTTGTGGCAGCCATTCTGTGGCAATGCCCATGCCATGCTCTTGGAGTTATAAATTTGCCCACTAGCCCAAAAACATGAATTAGTCTAATTGTCCTACTTTACTAACAATGGTTATACAACCTACAGCTCAGCACAATGAGTGAAGTCAGCCAGTGTCAAACAAGATGTATTTCAGACATTGCTTCATATGGCATCACTCCTAGTGAATATCTGAGCTCATCTGGGATTTTAAACAAAAATATTTCACCAACTTAAATATTTAACATGTAATCCACATGTCTGATCTCTAGGGCATTCTTCTGCAGCCTGGTGTACTCCAAATAAATTGGTTTGCAGTTCCCACAATCATCATGTTGACTGGAGCTGATGTGATCCAGGTTGAATGATAAAGGACAGTAGTGATGTCTTCTTAAGATTGTCCATTCTTCTTCTACTCCTCAGGAGGCAGTATATATGAATTCTTTAAGAGAAAGGCAGATAGGAAAACATTTTCAAATCCCCTTGGCAGTAAGGAAAGTTGCTGGTTTAAATATTAAACCACAAGAGATTGAAAGGGACTATCGTGATGTGCAGTTATGCGGAAACTGAAAGGGTCATGGGACAGTTCCAGTACTCTTACTATTATTTATGAAATGCTGAAGGCATCATACTGGAATTT